TCTCTCTTTCTCTCCCCCCCCCCCCCCCCCGTGTATGTATGATAGGTAGGTAGGTAGATAGATAGATAATTAGAGTACATGAGAAGCATACTTGTAGAACTCCTTAATAAGGAATAAGGGAAAAAAAGCAACACGGACTGAAAAGCTGCTTGTAGCCAACTTTATGTCTCCTTTTAAGTCAAGTGGAATTGGATTGTGGTTCTAGTTCATTTGTTTTGCCTTTTTAATTGCAAGTAGGCTTCTTGCCTATCAAAACCATATAATTATCAAAAACTGATGCTGGGCCAGGATCATTGTCATTGAAGTGGTAGTGCCATATTAATGATAGTATTTTTTCTCAATATATTATTCTATTAACAGTCATTATCTATAAACAGCTGATCAATATGCCATTTATATCTTTTTAATGTTTTGCTTGTTCATTTCAATGAGGCTTACAAAGAATCACCATTGACTTGTATCCTCTTACATACATTGAATTACATCATGTTTTAGATGGTTAGGCTCCTTGCGTGTTATATGGGTAGAAAATAATATGAATAACAAAATAAACATTTTCCTGTTGCTCTTGGCCATAGAAAAAATCATTTTTCTTTCACAAGCCTGTCATTAGTGTGAAGATATAAAATAGTTCTCTCATAACCCCTTGCTCAATTTGGATTCTTTCTCATCATTCCTTAAGCATGTCATGGTGCTTCTAGCTTCCCCTTGCTCCTTGCATGGCTCATTTGACTCCACTAGGGAAGCTCTTAGACTTACTCTTACTCTAAATCTTAGCACCTGCATACCTGTCAATTTCATTTCCCTGGCTCCTTAATAACATTTCCTTACTGGAAGAAGGAATCCATTGAACAGGTATTGCTTGTCATTGTTTCTTGAGCTCGTCAGTGACAATTAGTCACTGAGAAAGTATTACTTAGTGATTGAGCTGCTAAAGGATTTCTATTCTGATAAATGATGATATAATAAAATATAGGTAGTCCCCAATTTAAGAACGAGTTTCATTCCCAAGGTCTGTCCTTAAGTCAAATTTGTATGTAAGCTGGAACAGTATTATTGTATA